CGCGTAGTTAGAAGTGATTCTGTGGTTGTAAAACTCAGCAATCAATTCAACAAACCACACCGGTTGCCTAGGTGTGCAATGAAATAATTTTAGGTAGCATTTTACACAGGCAGACCGTGGAATCTCCAGACTGCTACACCTCTCAAATATTCAGAACGATCTTGGCGCTCTCAAAACTTGGTGCGATATTGGGAGTCTAGAATTCACCCCAAGGAAATGCAACGTCCTCGCTACCGTTGCACTACACCACACTAACACCCTAACTCTTAACAGTGTAGTGGTTGTGCTTACACTATATGTTAGCTTTGTTTTTATCATTTCCGTTCCCGATTATTTTCTACCATTTGTTTAAATTCACAAATTTTGAATACAACAATTTCTACACGCTCGCGTCATGTTGCTTTCCTTTTGCCACTACCTCTGCTTGTGCTGCCGCCACGTCTATCTACTAGTCAGATTTATATCTTCGAATCTCTAGTCGGCATCGGACTAACATCGACTGAAGGAGGAACTGTAACGCGTGTTGATTTTGCTTCTAGTTTGTGTTTTTGCATAATACTGTCTTTTGTCCCCACACTCGAACACATTAGGTAACGGTCTTCTACCATGGCACATCCTTAGGTAACGGCTCCACCGTGTGCGACTTCGTTGTGCATTACTCTATCTCGCTAAACTTTTCCGAACAAGCAAGCTATAGCTCTGCCAAATCCAGATCTATTATTGTGTATATACTGAAGTCCGTAAGCTTGGCTTGTCTCGGCTCACGCTGTACAAAGTAGGTGCTCGACCGAGTTTAGAGTACTGCTCGATAGTTATCTACAGTGCACGGATGAGTGATGGGATGAGGATAGAGAAAGTCCAGCGGTCTTTTACTAAGCGCCTACTTGGCCCGTCTACGCTCAACTATCAAAGACGCTGCAAACTGTTTGGCCTGGAACCTCTCTGGCCGTTCAGCCTTAAAACTAACCACGTATTCCTCTACAGTTCTCAAAACCGCTGACTCGGTCATAAGTGCATTTTTTCAACCGATGGGTGATGCACGTTACCCCATACGCAAAAGTCTCACTCATTCTCTCTCTCTAAGACACGTCGCAACATTCGTTCAAACTTCTTCCTCTGTAGATATGCGCACGTGTGGAACAAGCTACCAGAAATAGCCAGAGCGTCAGAAAATGCAGTGGAATTCTCCTCCGCTAGAAAACGAATACTCAGCGTCCCAAAGTTGGCGGAACTTCTGTGCAGCTGCGTTGCTGAAGATGAGTTCTGGCAACAAGGACCTGCTCACATAAAGACATATAACCCGAAGCCACCGTATACTCAACTGGACAGATAACTCTCCGGGCCTGGCTGTAATCTAGCCTCGTCTGAGCGGACTCCCTCTTTCTGCCTGCTCCCAGGCACCCGAGACGTTATCGATCTAGGATCTGCATTCCGAATACTCTGTTCCTCTCATCCCCAGACCTTTATTTGGCGTGCTAACGAGATTTTCATATAGCCGCTGTCGTCCCGGAATCTTCTTTACTTATGACACTCATTACTTTTATTCACACCTTAACTTGCCGGTCTAGCTTCACCTTACTGATTTATCAGGTCTCATCTGAATGGTCTACTGCTTCCTGACCAACCTCGAACTTATAATACCTAAATGACGTAGGCTCTACTGACCTAACGCCTTTTAACCCTCACCTTAAAAGCATGGTTGGTCCTAATTCATCCTTATTATTATATCCCATTAAATATTTAACATGTTTCTTTGGGCCGATGCTCTCTGCTAGTACGTAGACCTAAATTATACTGCTTTCTTTCTATGAACTGACATTCTATTCTCCTCATAATGAGCTACTTACTTTAAGCTACTGTGACACTAATGACCAGGGATTGGCGGACACAACGGTCTGTTTACATAAGCTCGAGGCCTACCGCCTTTTCATGCAGCCACTTCCGTCCCAAACTACTTTTCTGATGACAAACATTAATTTATTCCCACCTTTATTTGGCGGCCTAGCTTCATCTTGCTGACTTACCTGGTTTCGTCTGAACGGTCTCTTGTTTTTTTACCTCTCTTGGACTTCCGAGATCTAACTGACCTCGTCACTGCCGACGCAACGCTGTGTTACTTCCACCTCTGGAGCATTGCTGGTCATGACTCATCCTTATTATCATGTCACCCCTCTTCCTTAACGTGTCCATTTCTGTCGATGCTCTCCGTCAGCATTCATACCGCACTAATTACGACTTTCTTTTCCCACTGACCAGTCTCTTTCTCTCTGACTGTCCCTATCCTACCCAAACTTAAGCGGTATAAGCAATGCAGATTCAACGCTCTTGTTCCCCTACCTCGAGAGGATGTTAGACTTGTTCACCATCTGTTGTTACAGCCCTTTTCCTGCCTTTATTGTACGTGTTAATCCTACGCGCCGACTAATCCCATCTCACCAGATGGGCCACTTTTTTCCGATTTCACTCAGAGTTCGACGTTAAGAATCTTGGTTCGGCTGACCCAGCGTCCTGTTTACATCACCTGAAAAGCCCCGTGGGCTCCTCCACTCTTTGTCAGTAAACCCTTCTCATCCCGATCATAACCTTTTTGGATCTTGATTTCCGTTTCCATTCCTTTTTTAATCGGACTGCCAGCTTTACTGTCCTGTCTTGATCTTGTCTCACCGGATTAGTCTGTTTCTCTCTGCCTGCTCCCATGCCTCTGATACTTAAGACGTGTAGGCTCCGCAGACTTAACTCTGCAACCCTTACCTTGTGGGACTGCTGGATTTGGTCCTATGTTATTGTTATAACCGTGCCCTTACCTTCATTCTAGGCCCTAATCCCAAAGCGCCGATAAATCCAGTCCCCTTTAGTCGGCCTCCTACACACCGAATTCATTTAGACTTCTGTGACATCAATTGCTTGGTTGGGCTGACTTAATAGACCCAATACACAGCAGCGCAAAATCAAATAAGTTGAATATTTTGGGTTGGCTATTCAGTGATGCTAAATCGCTCTCAAAAACGTTATCAAATCGTTTGTGATATTTAATTATATCGCACCGTCATCTTATAACCGTACATAGGGTTTTCCTTTGACTTTCTGTCCAAGTCCGCTTTTGTAGCTTCGTGGTATCGTGCTCCATTTTTCTGTATAATGGTAGCTGAACGTTTTGCAGCTATGAGGCGTAAAAAACGAAGAGTGATATCGACGACATTCTCTGCTGTTAAAGCCAACTCGGCGTAAGCTGACGTGCGCGATGTCCAACTCATGGACTAAACTGACCCCATCTTGGTGGTCAATATTTCAAGCTCAGTGCTTGGTGATAAAGAGGTTGTAAATCCTACATCAACATCTGACATAGTTGCTGTCATCCCTTCTCAGGAATGTAAGGTTATGCTTAATGACCCACTTACTGAAGCAATGCTAAAAATTCACGCACTTGAAAATCAAGTGAATTAACTAGAAAGCAACATAATGCACATCCACGCGACCTTGAAGAAAGTGATGCTTCTACTACACTTGTCGGGCATACAAAAGCCTGAAAACTCATCAGACCTAGACCCAGCTGACATGCTCCTTAACGTAGTTGCCCAAGAAGCCAAACAGCGCTTTCGTCGCGCTAATAATGCCATAGTATTCAACGTCCCAGACCGGTTTCCACTTGAAAATTTGCTACGTAAGCTTCTAAACGTCTGCAAATTGTTGCTAGGTTGCGGCAAAGCTAGGCGCTTAAAAAAGATTCCAGACCGAACATGTCCTATCATGCTTAGAGTTGCAGGTCTTGAGTTTGCAACACGCTCCATGGCCTCCAGTTTTCTCCTCAAACTACAGGATAACTTCGGTACTATACAGCTCAGAGAGGATATGACCCCCTACAAAAGTCCACAGCGCGCACCTCTACATCATTATCTAACACAAAAGCCCGACCTGAAACAAAAGATGCATCGCCCGTCACATGCTTTACACCACTGCGCACTGCTATTTAGATTCATCACAACAACAACGACAACAACAAAGTGTCACCCCAAAGTGAGCACACCCAAATCTGGCTCAGATCGAGATACTGCAACTAGTGCAGAAAGAGAAACCTTCAGACAGTTATCTAATTGTGACTCTGATATGTGTGATTCTGATACTGAACCAGCAACCCTGCCTATCGCTTCGCCCGCTACTCTCCTCATCAGGAGTGAAAGCAACAATGCGGATGCCTCTTGCGGAAATCCACATGTCCCCTGTAAAGCACGCCAAAGGTGTCTGCTACCCACAACTACAACAAACCCAGAAAAGATTTGCAAGACCTACGTAACCCAGTATCACAAAAACCTTAACAAGTAAGCACCTGAGTACCGGATGGTACACACCAACGCTAGGACTCAGGCTAGGCAGCCGGTAACCGTTAAACCATGTTCCCCATGATATCAGTCTTCGATGGGGTCTGCGATTACGACTAGGCTACGCCAGCCACCACCTAACCGTTACATACGTGAAGCTCCCAAGTTGGCAGCCCGCGCCCTGACCCACCAACAATCGCCTAACGCATGAGGACCTGGAATTAGTTCTTACGGCACTCCCCATCGAACAAGGAGTGCCAAAGCTGAAGACTCTTCTCTAAACAACCACTTCCCAAAATTTGGAAAGCAACAGTTCGTTAATCTGCATAGCGTAACCGCATGCAACACGGCCCCATTTACCACCTTCCATTTTTTATGATACACGACAAGTTATGGCCCAGCGCGCCCAATCCATCAAGAGCTAGCACCTGGACTACTTTTTCTCCGAAATCTCCTGGTTCATTACAGCCCTCTCCAAATCTCTGGTTTCAACCCTTCGGTTAGCTCCAGCAA